GTTCATTTTTGTCCTCTGACAGAGGACAAAAATGAACTACTGGTAGTCAGGAGGCTATCTGGCCATATGATTAGAAAGTTGGGCAGAGAGACATTGGAGTCGGAGACATCATGATCTATGGTTTGAATGTCCTTCTTCTCTCTCTTTGCTCCTTGGTCCTGTTCTATGTCCATGAATCCTCTTTTTCTCAACTCCTCTGGGATTTGGGGTCAGGTATTATTTGAGCTAATCAGCTGCATCCAGTTGTAAAAACAATTCGTTGTTACCACATTTTCTCATCGTAGCAACTGTCCGAATGTTTTTTTTTTTTTTAAAAAAACATCCACACTCCAAAGGAAATAATTGTCCAAACATGCAACGTCTTGACCAAAGAAGCTATAAGCAAATGTCAACAAGAACAAATCAGAACTAGCATCACAGAGGAATGCTAGCATGCTACCACCCAATGTGCCACCATGGAAAATTTGCTTTTTGTTGGTTTTTTACTTCTCATTACTGCCATCCCAGAGAGAAACCTGCTGCCTGGACTGTTACATACCTGTGCTGAGAGAGATGACCTGATCCCCAAGGCCAACCCAAAGGACTCTGGCCAATATTCCTAGACTTAAGAGAAGGAGGTTTGGTGTCTGTGGTGTCTGTGTGTGACCTGAAAGGCTGACGTCTTCAGAATCAAAGGTTGGACCGCTTTTGTTTCCGGCCACAGTGAGACTGAAGGACAGCAGGTGTCCACTGAACAGGAACTGAACCTCTTTTTTCTGCCTGCCCTCTCGCTTCCGTTCTTGTACAGACGACTATAAATCAGGGAAAGAAGAAGTTTTCCACATGGAGGTTTGACAAAATAATCTGCTAAAGATTTTAGAGCTTGTAGAGCATGACTTGTTAAATTATTATTATTTGGTAAATGTTCTCATTTTTCTGACCTTTGTGTTCTGGTCAGTAGTAGTAGATTGTTTGTCTCACGTTGTACATTGTTATGTTTGTGCAAGTTTGGTTTCTTAACATCAAATACTTTAAGATTTAATAAATTTTGTCCAAGCAGCAGAACCAAACATGGAGAAACAGCAATCGGCTTTCATGCACCACAAATCTGAAATAAACTTCCAGAAAACGGCAAAGCAGATGAAACACTGAGTTCCTTTGAATCCAGACTGAAACTCACCTGTTTAGAGTTTCCTTTGATGAACAATGACTGGAACATTAATGAATATATTTGATGTGCATTAGCTTGATGATGGCATTTGACAAAATGTGATGTTGCTTGTTTGCTCTTCCCAACATAATTGGTTATTTATTCATTAAAGTTCTTTGAACTGCGCTGTTGCTGGAATGTACTAGACAAATAAGCTTGACTTGATTTACAAGAAAGGATATGCGAATGGGACTATAGTTGCATAATTAACAGGTTAATCCAGAGAACTTGTAGAGTGAAATCAAATATTGTTTATAATGCAAAATCAAGAAATGCAGAGAAACTGTGCAATAAAGTCAGGAGCACACCCCTACAGTTGTGAATACAACTAAATGAAGAAGCTCAAGACACTGAAGCTGGTTTTTACACCTCAGTGTCAACAAACCCAGTAATAAAGTTTGTTTTCACATCTCTGCGACCGCATAAACACTCCGGGCCTTTTTCGCCGCCATCTGCCTCTTATCTCCCCATCAGCTTCCCGCACCGACTGTTTTTTGACAAAAGTGTCAAACAGGAAGTTGTATAACCTTCTAACCTACTAAACTCGTGTGGGCGTTCACAACAAACACAGCCCGCGTGTGGCGACAGTTAAAAATGATGCAGGAGTCGAGAGTCGTAGTTAAAAAAAATATTTATTGAAATCATATAAAAATAGCTTCTAACATAATTTACAATTCTAAATCAAGTGGGTGAAAAAAAAACCAATCCAAGTTTTCTTATACATGCACACACTCACACATCATTCACTCAAACACCAGTGTGTGTTGGACACTGGTTACCATCAGTAGACGTTGAATGTTTACATACATTAAAAATGGAAGTGCTTTTCAGGATTATTTACACTTTATTTACAGACACACACACACACACACACACACTAATTTGCTCTTTGAATATTTCAAGCCATAATAAATATGGTCAAAACCAAAAAAAAAAAAAAACTCCATCTTTGTTTTTTCTCTTAAATAATCCATGGGCCCTTCAGTGACTGTGGAATGAAATATATACATTCATAGACAGCCGAAATTCTCTCATAAATAAATAAATAAATTCTGCCATGAAAGAAAAAAAAAATAGCTCATTAGGCGTGGGAGAGCTGTCACAACAATAATAAATATCTTATTTACAATTTCTTTTGTCCCCAACAAATTTTTAAGACCTGTGTGAGGCATTTTTTCTTTCTTTTGGAAAAAAAAAATAAAAATCTGAGCATTTAAAGAGCAGAAGATGTTTGTATCTCGGTGTGTGTTGCGTTGCATTGTTGTGTGCATTCAGGTTGAAGAGATTCAACACTTTGAGTTAAGCCCTGTGTTTGTATACATTACAACACAGGAAGTAGAAGAGGAGGAGGAGGAAGGTAGTAGAGGTGGATGTTGAAGTAAACAGACTGAGGTAAGTCCAGTGTTTTTTCTTCTTCTCTTGATTTTGTTTGCACAAGTTGCTGCCGGCGCTATGAGGTCGTCTGGTTGCTAATGACATTGGAGTAGTGGTGATAGTAGTGGTTGTAAAATAAAAAAATTACACAGGCTTTACTGATCTAGGCCTATGAGAGGGGAAAACAAAACAAGCCTTGTAAAGAGGAAGTAAACAAAAGGTTTCTTTTTTCTGTTTGTGTTTAGAAATTCAAGTATTCTCAGGCTCCCGTTGCCTAAAACAATCTCACATAAGGCACTTTGTTTTTTCTCTTCGGAACTCGCCGCCAACGCTTCTGCTCTTGGTTTTTTGGAGGAAAACCAGTTAGCCTGTAACAAGATAGCGTAACTTGGGCTGTCCGTGTGCCGCTCAGCTCGCCCTCCTGGACGCCTGCACTGAGGCTCGGCGAAGACCTCTGCGATTGCTTTGTCATGCAAAGCTGTATCAGTTCAGTTCAGCTTGGCTCGGTTGGGACTGGGCGAGCCCCGTCACCGGGCAGCGGCGGTGGCCATGAAGGCGGCAGGCTCGTGGGCAATGCTATGTAGCCTGATCTCGGCAGGCGACTTCTCCGTCTGCACTGTGGAGGGCACCACCGACGGCGACGTGTTCTGCATCCACGAGTGGTTGATAATGTCCTCAAGGGACGGCCGGTCAGCAGGCCTCAGGCATAAGCACCACTTGATCAGCTGCTGGCACTCTGGAGGAAGAGAAGAGGAGGGACAGCTGTTTAGATGACCGTCGGCACCAACTCATGCGAGCGTTGCAGAGGCACGCGCGCTCACCTGTGGAGACTTTCCTCCGGAACAGAACCTGTGCCTTGGTGATCTCCTCATCGTGTTCAAACGGGATGTCTCCACACACCATGTCGTACAGCAGGACGCCCAGGGACCAAACGGTGGCTGAGCGGCCGTGATAGCGGTGATACTTGATCCACTCTGGTGGACTGTACACTCTTGTGCCTGTTAGACAAAAAAAAGCAATAAAGGTTATTAGTATTAATATTAGAAGCACAAGAATATAATTAAAATAAGATACACAACATCCTTAAGCTAATAACTGTTTTTATTTTTATGTTATAATACTGAAAATGAAAGCATTTAAGAGCTCCAGCTAAGCCTGTTTTTTTTTTCATAAAGACTTTATCAGCTCAGCTGCTAGGCAGGGTGACTTGCTGTTTGTGTTTAGACAGGAGCGTGTGAGGGAGGGAGGGAGTGAGCAGACATGTGACTTTGTTTACAAACTTTGAGTTGTAAAAATACCGCTTCCCTCCGATAGGGGGCGACAAGGCTACAGCCCTGGAGCGAGCGGAGGAAGATGACACAACTCTGGAATTTCTGCTACATGACTCTTAAGTCCACATACTATGTAACCTTTATCCAGGGGGCAAAAAAAGCCTCTTTTTTTTAAATCAACATACCGTCAAAGTCAGTGTAGACGGTGTCTTTGAGCAGAGCCCCGGAGCCGAAGTCGATGAGCTTCATCTCGCCGGTGCGGAGGTCAATGAGGATGTTCTCGTCCTTGATGTCCCGGTGAACCACGCCGCAGCTGTGGCAATGCCGCACGGCCTCCAGCACCTGGCGGAAGAAGCTCCGCGCCAGCTCCTCGGGCAGGGCGCCTTTCTCGGTGATGAAGTCGAACAGATCCTTGACGGTCTCCGGCCTCTCCATGACTATAATGAAGCTGTCGGGCCGCTCGAACCAGTCCAGCATCTTGATGACGCCGCGGAAGCCAGTGCCGACCTTCTTCAGGAGCACTATTTCCAGCGGCACGCGCGAGCCGTTAGCCTGAAGAAACACCAATAATAAAAAAAATAATAATTAGATAAAAAAATAAAAAGTATGTGACAGAAGGAAAAGCTTCGGAATAATATGAATAGTTTCTCACCAGTTCTGCCCACTCAGTCACTCTGTCCTTGGCTACATGTTTGACAGCAACCTAGCATGGCAAAGAGGAGACCGCTTTAGAAGACGTATTCAACAACAAAATGTGTAAAACCGCCATTTTAAAATGACAATATGTAAATATAAAAGGTGAAAAGTGGACTAACCGGAGCTCCGTCGGATGTCCTCGTGCCGGAGTAGACGGTGCCGAAGCCGCCGCTCCCCAGCACTGCGCCGACCTGATAAAGCTTCTCGAAAGCTTCTTTCTCCTTCACTGTAACACAGAAACATAACCGGTGAACACCAGAGCGGGCCAAAAGCTCTACGTATCCCTGTTAATTAGCAAGCGAAGCTTTAGAAATGGGCGGCCAGCCATTGCTGTAGCGCCCGCCACTCCATGGACAGCGCAGTAACGCAGAGGGATACAAACAAAACAAAACAAAACAAACAAACAAACAAACAAAAAAAAAAAACAGGGCGTCTAACCTTGCTGAACTTGCAGCTGCATTTTCGCCGGCATATCCACGGCGGAGATGTGAGCCAGAGAATTCAGCTTGGACAGCAGCATTCCTTAAATCAAATCCAGCACGGCGAAGCTCGGCGAACACGGTTGTAAATGTTTTATTCCGATATCAGGAGCCTCCCGTCGCTGTTTGTTGGGGCTGCGTGTCCACGTTGCAGGAACAAAAAAAAAATGCGGCAAGGATCCTCTCATCCAGATAGAAGGCAAAATCCGCCTGTGGTCCAGGAAAGTAAAAACAATAAAAGGCAAAAACAACAAATCGATGTATAGATGTGTTCTCTTTAAAAGGAAATCGACGCGAAAGCGTAATTGTTCCCCGTGATATTTGTAAACAGAGGAGTAACGACGAGACGGATCACAACAGTGCAAACACCAATGCCTCGGCCAGACACCGGCTTCTGGAAACAAAAAGCTGGGGGTAGGACGTTTATAAGGCGGTAGTAGAAGGCGTAGCGATAAGCTCCTTAGTCTTTCATAGCCCGCCCCTTTGCCTCCGGGAGCCAATGGGGACGCAGACACGCACGTCAATCACAGGATGAAAATAGAGACAGCCTCGTAACCGACGGGGCCAGACAGACGTGGCGGGAATCAAAACGCGCCAAAAAGGGCTGGAATAATGCGCGATTAGGGATTCATGTTGGAGGGAGATGCGAATTCAAAAGCCGAAAGCTTCTGCCTCCTACATGAAAAATTGCAAATAGTATCACTAAAGTGCTTTATTTCATATTTTGTATGTGCCTTTATTAAATCTAGATATTTACTTAATTATAAGTGTTAATTAATATAAATACTTACAGTATTTTAATAATAATAATAATAATTTGAAACTTTGACTGTACATGAATACAGCAGAACTTTTATTTGAAATAAAGTTTTTTGAAAATAAATAGACTTTAAAGTCTTGATTAATAATAATGGCTTCAGGCTTTGAGTAGTTTGCTCTGTAATGTTTTGTTTTTTCCTGCTGCTCCTATTGGAGCTGCTCTCAAACCGACGCAGAGAGTTGTTTTCACACAAAACAGGCTAAAACAACCCGAAAGCAGTTCATCATTGAGGGTTTCATCTACTCGAGCCGTCATTTACCCTAATCGCTTTCGCATTGAAACAAAATAGTTTACTGGCTGCAGTGGAGCCTCTCTCTCTCTCTCAAACTGCGCCGCCGCGCATCAAAGCGGCGCAGGAGGAGAAAAGGCGCATTCCGCTCATTCTTTCAAATTGGGTGGCCGCGTTTGTGGGTCGTTCACAGGATGTGGGAAACTGGAGATAAAAAGACTTCCATTTACTCCGCCCCATCCCCCCTCTTTTTTTACCCGTCACCCTCCCCTGCCTTCCCTCTCCATTCCTCGTCTCTCCACCCTGCTTTTCCCGCGCATGTTATTGTCTGAATGGCATGCTCGCGCCTCCTGCTTCAACTCACCTTTTGTTTTCCTTGGATTTTCTTTCTTTTTTTTGTGTGCATTTGTTCAACTTGCGAAATCAGACTCAAAGAAATTCGAATCTTTAAGCGTTATTAGAGTTTAAACAATAAGACTATTAAAAGTATTACCATCCAGCCACGTGCGTCATGAAATGAATGTGAAAAGTCAGTGGAGCGTTTCTCTGGATGTCTGCAGGTGATTCTGGGTAGGTGGAATGAAACTTGCTCGAGTTTGAACAAAAAGCCCCCGGGGCAAATTCCTCAGATAGCTTCTGAAAGTGTGAGAGTTGAAAACTAGCTTATATGCAAATCATCTCTTGCACTGCTCAGCTTGTGTTTGGGAGGCATTCAGCATGCCGCAAATAAATAACATGGAATTTCCACACTGCATGTTTAATACGTTTTTTTTTCTTTTTCTTTTTTTTTTTTTTCCTTGTTTCATTTTTGAGCAAAATCACAGCAATCTGTGTCCTCCGTATTTCCCCGTCTTTTCCTTTCAGGAAAGAATAAAAAAAAGCAGAGGTCTTGTTTACATTCAGAGCTTTCTCGTCACCAGCCTGCATCCAGCATGACGTCCTGAGACAAAGAGGCGTCTTGCTGATTCTGAATCCAGATTGAAATTTGGGTTGATCTGCCTGAGTAGTTTAGGCTCTCTTTAATCTCTGCCTTTTCGTCGATAATCTTCTAATATTTAGTGCTTACTTATTTCACAATTAATCTATTCTAAACCCTGCCTTTTTCTCTCCTGTCCTATTTTTATTAACAAACACCAGTGTTTTTAACATGATTTAATTCATAGTTTCAAAAAATTTACTAAACAACTGCTTCAAGAATTTGTATAAAGGCCCCTTTAATCTGATTTATAAAAATCCAGCACAACCAGTTATCCTCGCCTAATTATGCTACTGTGTGTGTTTTGGATTCAGGTGGACTGAATATATGCACAGGATTCTTTATAGATTTCCATTTTGGATTTGAGACCAAATACAGTAATTTGATTGGCAATTTTAGTGCAGCCATCTTGAAAAATCTAACAATTATCATTAAACGTAGTTTATATGGACCCAATTATGTCAAACATGACACCATGTTATATTTGTCAATTTCATCTGTGAAATTGGCAAATGCAGAGAAAAATAAATTTTCCTCGATGACCATGTCGGCCATCTTGAAAAATGGCCGCCATCTTGAATTTTTCTGTGGCTATCATTATTTCTTTAATTTAAAAAAAAAAAATCAAACTGGCAACATCAGCACCCAGTTAGATTCTTGTATCTGCATTTGAGAGATATGTCTGAAATATTCAGTTAGTCAAAAAATGTATTTTTTATGACAACTATGGTAGTCATCTTGACAAAACTAAAATGTATCAGCAAACATGATTTCTGTGGATCCAGTTATGTATAATTTGGCACCAAATTATATATAATTTGGTGTATATTTATTTATTTATTTATTTATTTATTTATTTATTTATTTATTTATTTATTTATTTATTTATTTATTCAACATTCAAAAAGGAAACATCTGTGCCAAGTTTGCTCCTTGAGTCCACATATGGAATATTTTGCTGAAATACTCACACTCATATACAGTTTCAAGTTGATGTGACAAAATGTGAAAATTGCCAAGTAGCATGGATACCTTAGCAGGCCACTGATTTTCTGTCAATACATTGAAGAATTCTGTATTCCTAAAATGATTTTATCTGCATCTTCATGTTGAACGGTGGTGGAGTTGCAGTCAGAAGTGAGTTCATATTCAACCAGAGATCCTGAAGAGGTGTGTGTAAACGGAGATGACCGGTGACGTAAAAACGTCACCAGTGACCACATTGTTTTTTTTGGGTGTGTGTGTGCTGCAGATATTCCTGCCTGCATGGATCAGCAGGGTTCGAATGACAGCCATCCAACCCCATCCGTCAGAAGGGCATATTATTAGTTTGGGACCAGCTGCTCACACCAATATCTGGATGTCTCATTTACTGAGGTTGCCACGGCAGCAGGTTCTTACAGTAAATCAGGACTGACATATCTATGTGGCCACACACTTGATTATCTCTAAATTTTGCCTACTTTGTCGTTAACAGTGACGTCCTCTGTATGCTGGAACTCTAGAGACCATGAGCGGAAAAAAGCAGCGCAGTGGCTGATTATTTGGTTTACATACGCAATCGCTGTATTTCTATGAATTACTTCCTCTTTCTAGAGAAATAGAAACCATAACCAGAGGAACATTACACAACACCAGATTATGTTTCTTCACAAAAAATGTGCAGAATGCTTTGATATTTCTTTTTACTAATTGCTTTTTTTATTACATTATTATAAAAACCAACATCTTAGTTGCTACCTATTAAAACAAACATGTATTTACATTTCAAAGTTGGAATGCTTGTGTTCTCGAATGGCAAAAAATGAAGTTTTTCTTTATATTCAAATGCATGAAAAATATGCACAGTTCTTTGATATTTCCTTTTCATATTGCATTTTTTATTACATTATAATAAATAGAAACATCTTAGTTGCAACCTATTAAAAAAATACAAGTATTTACATTTTTATATGTCAGAGTTTGAATGCTTTGGCCCTTGGATTGCAAAAAATTAATTTTTTTAAATATTCAAATCCATTTAGAAACAAGCATTTCTTTCATTCTGCTGCTGTAAATCTTCTGCAGAGGACGCTACACGGTATCCACCTGAAGCAGCACATGTTCCACCCCATCTTGATACTGTAAACTTATGCAATGTTGTATCCTTACTGACTTCAAACTTGGAGCTTCCCATAACTTCCCTTATCTCTGCGTCCTTTCAAGGCATCCTTGACCTGGCGCTCCACCCTCGGCCTGCTGCAGAAAGTTACGATACTTCCTGCCTGACACATTAACTAAGGGAAAATTACATTTAGCACTTTCACGGTGCCTCGCAAAAGTATTTATGCCTCTTATACTTTTATTGTATTTTGTCACGCTACGGCCACAGATCTCAATGAGTTTTATCGAAATTCGGTGTGAATTGGTGCAAGTTTGTGAAGCAGAAAGATAATAAAAAGTGATTTTCTTTCAAATGTGACCTCTGATTCATATTTTTGCCCATTCTTCTTTTTTTTTTTTTATAAAATAAATCAAACTCAGGTTAAATTGGAAAATTTAATTTCAAGTGTTCCAACAGAGTTTCAATTGAATATGGGTTTGGACTTTGAGTAGGCCACTCTAGAAAACGAATATTCTTTGATCTGAACTGTTCCACTGAATCTTCAGCTGTGTGGTCAGGGTTGTTATACTTGCTGGAAACCGAAACTCCACCCCCGTTTCAAATACCTTACAGTGATTAGCACAAAAACGATTCCACAGGATAATGCTGCCACTACTACAGATCTATTCAATAAATTCAAATATTACTGAAAAGTTTATTTATTTCAGAGACTTCAGCAATAAGTGAAATGTGTTCATTAGATTAATTATATTCTTATAGATGTTTGAAAACCTTCATTTTTGTTAATTATGATGATTTTCCACTTAAAGGTAATTAAAGAAATGACATTTAAAATTAGAATATTACATCAGACCAACAAAAGACACTAAAGAAAACAGAAACGTGGGCTTAATGAATCTTACATTTAAAATCTGCTTAATTTCAAAAGATACAAACCGGCCTCATATGAACTATGTTATTGAATATGATTGTATGGTGGCTGCAGGTACAGTAGAGGTGTGTGATATTGGCTTCTGCTTATTTTGGTAACGATTCGATGTTGAGTAAACACATGTCCAGTATTGCTGATGCCGATACAATCCTGGTAAAATGCCGACATGTTTAATTTTTAAGTTTGATCTTATGAACAAACCTCTGACCCTCAGATCTTTTTGTGTTTTGTCTTTGAATTATTTTCTTAAAACCTGGGACAGAATTTGGACAAAGTTTATGGGTGTGTACAAAATACTTTAATAACATATTAACAGAATAATCAGAAAAACAGAAAAAAATTATGTGATTTT